CCCCCCTGCCCTGGGCAGCCCATTCCAACGCCCAACAGCCCCTTCTGCACAGAAATCCTTCCTCAGAGCCAGCCTGACCCTGCCCTGGGCAGCTTGAGGCCATTCCCTCGGGGCCTGGCGCTGGGGCCTTGGCTCCAGAGACTCATCCCCCCTCTCTGCCCCCTCCTGTCAGGGAGTTGCAGAGGGCCAGGAGGTCTCCCCTCAGCCTCCTCTTCTCCAGACTAAAGCCCCCAGTTCTCTCAGCTGCTCCCCAGCAGACCTGTGCTCCAGACCCTGCCCCAGCTCCGTTGCCCTTCTCTGGCCACGCTCAAGTGTACCTTTTCCTATCCCTTTTCCATCACCTCTTCTACTTTCACCTTTCACCATTTCTCCATCTCTCCCTTATCCCTGGATTGGGCTGTCAGAGCAGTCCATGGGCTGAGGTTGGGGTGATACAACCTTCTTCCCCCCGCAGCAGTACCATCAGCTGGGCCCAGCTTGTGGGTGGGTGCATGGTGCGTGGAAGAGTGATGCTGGGTGCCCCGCCAGGGTGTGTGAGAAGTGGCTGGTCCCATCAGTCATGTGCTGTTGGTTTGGGAAGAAGTCTGCAAGTGTTTCTTGCTTGACACGGTATTGGATTTGGTTTTGCTTGAGACTTGTGCACTAGATATTTCTTCTCTGGAAAGGGAGGCCTTCAGCCCTGTGGAGAAGGACTGGGGAATGCTGGTGGGTGACAAATGGGACATGAGCCGGCAACATGCGCTCACAGCCCAGAAAGCCAAGTGTCTCCGGGGCTGTGTCCCCAGCAGCGTGGCCAGCAGGCCGAGGGAGGGGATGCTCCCCCTCTGCCCCACTCTCCTCAGACCCCTGGAGCACTGGCGGCCAGCTCGGGGTCCCCAGCACAGGGCAACGGTTCTAAACTGACCGAGGGTGGGGTTAGGCTGGACATAGAGAATAAATGTTGTACCCTGAGGGTGGGGAGGCCCTGGCACAGGCTGCCCAGAGAAGCTGTGGCTGCCCCCTCCCTGGAAGGGTTCACGGCCAGGTTGGACGGGGCTTTGGGCAACCTGGGCTAGTGGAAGGTGGCCCTGGCCATAGCAGGGGGGTGAGATTGAGTGGTCGTAATATGACTACAGCAACGATCCCAAATCCCAGGAGCAGAGCTGGACAGAAGCTATCCAGAACACAGAGCTGAGCCCACGCTGGGAGTGAGTCCAGCATCAGGGCTGAAGGCAGGTACCTCTGTAGCACCGCTCAGATACAGGCTGGGGCCCAGGCCTGATCATACGCAGCTCCTGGACCCACAGGCAGAGACAGAGGTCCCGTGTGAGGCTGGTTGAGATGCCCTGAGAAGCTGCTGCTTTGCAGCCAGAGAAAAATCTGACCCATCTGTGCCCGGCATGAGCTCACAGCTGCAGGCAGGGGACGAGCTCTGCTGTCTGTGCGTGCACGGGTCTAAGGAGCTGCGTAATGCCAACATCCTCTTGGGCTGATCCCTCTGCCCACCTTCCTCGGCTCCAGGCAGGTCCAGAGCCTGCTTCCAGCCACCATTACATTTTTTAGGGTGGCAGCATCACTCCCACCAAGGGCAACCCACAACACCCACTTGCCAGCTCTCCCTGCCTGCTGGCTCCTCGCTCTCAGCTGAAGCTGCCCTGGTTCCAGGAAGAGAGAACAGGGGCTCAGACAGCAAAGTTTACAAACCCTCCATGCTCAATGCTGAGCCCTCCCCAGCACAGTGACACGGAGGAGCGTGCCAGGTGTGGTGCAGCAAGGACTGCCTGCTCTGCCCAGTTCAAGCCCTAGAGACAGCCCCAAGGTCAGCTCCAGGAGATGCCACGTCTCTTGCAGGCAAAGGTGGGATAGGATGCAGGCTGCATGTCCTCATCCCAGCTCTCACCACCTCCTTGCTGCCCCATTCCCCTGTTACAGAGCATGGGGCTGGTAAAAGCTGTGGAGAGGTGAAGGACAAGAACAAAGACATCATATGGATGAAGAACCAGCAGCCAGCGCAGGCTTGGCCAAATGCCACAGCTGGTCAGGAAGAGCTTGCTTTAATGCTGCACTAAAGCACGAGGCCCTGAGGCTGCATCTCACCCACAGCACCCAGCACAACACTTGCCAAAGTCATATAACTAACCTGCAGGACCCCAGAGGACTTCCCAGGGAGTCTACAGCCTTCTGGCTAGGTTTCCTGGGTTGGAAAAGCTGTTGTTAGCTCCTCAACAGCAGTAAAATCAGATGAAAGTGTGCTAGATCTTTGGGTGATCTGCTGCCCACAGCACCACAGAGCTACTGCAGAGCCACAAATGGGAATGGAAGGGCTGAGTCAATACAAGGTGCCCACGAAGGAAGAAGAGCCTGGGGGAAAAGCCCCGCCCTGAAAATTGGAAAAACACTGGAAAATCATGAGAATTGGACCTCTGCCTCCCCATCAAGCTCCAGAGTACATCTGCCTCTTACTTGACATCGCCGGAAATTAAAGTTTCCTGGAGAGCAGAAGCTCTGCCAGTGAACAAAGCAGCACTGAGCACTGCTGGAAGCTGCAGCACAGAGGGAGAGAATAGTGGGGGATGATGCAGAGGTCATGGTGCAGCACAACCATCAGAAGCTCTGGGACAGGCAGAGCCACAAAGCCACTGAGGAGACTTTCTACCTGAAGACCACTGCACAGCCCAGCTGGATGAAGCAACAGTCCCCACTGAGACCCTGGGGAAACTCCCAGGGAGGTCCCTGGTGCTACAGCTCACACCCATCGCCCAGCTGACAGTGAACACCAGTTCACCCAATTCTGTGTGCCAGATGCTCTGTAGATAGGGAGGACTTCAGGCACCTCGGGGCCGTAGAAGCCAAATGTGCCATGGTTGAGTTAACTGCAACGTCTGAGCTGTGCTCCTCCAGCTTGCAGCATCCCCCTTCCCATGGCATGGCCACACGAGCCCCCACAGCACCAGCTACAGCTCAGGCTGGAGACACCGAGGACAAGGCACCTTCCCAAGGCTGGGACCCTGTCTCTGCCTTTCCAGCTCCCACTAGACACAAATCCACAAAACTCACAGAGAGACTGGTGATGCCGACACATCCACCTGTGTGCTTAGGGGTACCGGGTCCGAGTGACCCCACACCCCTGGCCATCCCCCGGCTCAGGCAGGTCCAGCACTGCCTGCGGTGCTGTTGGGATGAGCAGACTTCACTCACAAAGCCTGCCCAGCATGCCACAAACTGCCACTCACCTCCCCATTCCTCAGGACCCTTCTGCTCAGCTGGGGGTGGCTGCAGGGGCCACCTCCCAGCACTGGGCAGGCATTTTCACCCAGTGAGACATTTTTAGCTCAGATAAATCCTGTGGTTACTCCTGAGATGAAAGTGTCACAGGAATCCTCAATAAGCCCATCTCAGCACCAGGGGCCTCTGGGACCACCTGGGGCTGTCCAGAGGAGCCGCTGGGGACGGAGCAGCCCCCAGACTGTCCCTGACTCAACGGCAGCTTGGGATGCATCCACAGCTTCCTTTCTGCAAATCAATTAACGCAGTCTCACGCAGTGGGACAGGGGATGATTAATTCTCACGGTGTCTCTGGAGATGGCAGATGCTTTATTTTTGGCTCCTCGGTCTCACACATAACAAAACTGTTCTTAAAAACAAGCAGCATCTGTGCAGCACCTCCACGGCTTCAAAGCTGCACACCCACCACAGAAAGCTCCTCCAAGCTTCAAATCCAATTTTTGGGGAGCAAAGCCTAATTAGATTTAAGGTATCATTTCTCCTAATGGGCAAAATGGAGGGGAGGAGGAGGAGCAACGCCTCCCAGCACAGGCAGGGCAGAGCCCCGTGCCAGGGGAGCACAGCTCCCAGCAGCAGGGAGGGGACACGGCTGGGGGGAGCAGGGTCCAGCCAGAGGAGAGACACCCAGAATCTGCCCTGCTGCCACCAACCCCAGGACACAGCACATCCTGCCACCCCTCCACAGCATCTGCGATCTGGGGCTGCATGTGGGGGAAGAGCGCGTGAGTGGGGGAGGGCGGAGGGCACTGACTGAGACTGGGGCAGAATCAGGGGGAGAGGGAGAGGGAAGATTTTCTATCTTTGGATTCATCAGCTGAAAACAAAGAGTGGGGGATTTGTGGAGCTTTGTGCAGTCACCACCTCCCAGCTGAGCTCCATTCAGAAGAGCCTGCTGGAGCAGCAGGGCCTGGGGGTGCTGTCTGGCATACCTCACGACACAGAGAGCCCTCTGCCCAGGAAGCACTCCTGGTAAAACCTTAGTAAGCTTGTGGCTTTTGGTGAGCCTTTTTGCCAGAAGAGATCTTCCACTCTCCTGACAGAGAAACCCTGGTTTTGCACAGGATTATGCACAGGACTGTGTACCTTCCCAGCACAGACCCCATCCTGCCTCTGCAGCCTCTTCACACCTCCAGCCGAGGGGAAGGTGGGTCCCTCACCATCACCAGCCAGGACTGCTCCACTGCCTCAGCCACCACAGTGAGCCCTGGGCAGCCTTCTCCTTGCCCTCCATCAATGCGCTGTCACACCCTGACAGCCCACAGGATGGACAGAGCAAAGACAAGCTCAATTTAATGTATGTCCATAATTTAAGCAGAACGGCAGAGGCCTTCCAAAATCCGGGAGTAGAAAAACTTGAGAAAGGTTTCTGTGGGATCTGAGGACAATTAAGGACCTGGCTAAGTCCCTTCAAATCTTCTCCTCTCTTGGAAGGGGAGCACAGAGATACCTTAAATTCCTCTTTACCTTACAAGCCACCCTTGTGTCTGGGCATCACCCACAGAATGACGCCAGCTGACGAATGAGTCAGTCAGCTAAAGCAGGGACACACTCGTCCTGCTTTACATTAAACGTCAAGTTCTTGTTGAGCCTCATGTCAGTCAACCTTTCCATTCAGCCAGTGTGAAACATTTCTGTTATTGTTATACATCATAAAGACTAATCTTAACAGAGAAAAGGCTTGCACACACAAGTCTCCTTCTAACCCTCCACAGAAACCACCACCCCAGTAGCACCCAGATTCCCAGGCATCTGCAGCTCGAAGAACATTCCCCCAGGTGACCACAAGGACACCAGCCTGCCGCAGATCTCCTACCTTACTATTCACACTCAGGGAAGGGTGAAAGGGAAGAAAAACACCCATTTGTTTGTGGAAAAAAAACCCTGGACTAGGCTTACTACTCTTTCAATTTGAGCACAAACCCCATGACACCTCTTTAACAATGAGATTATTTGCAAAAATCTCTTTTAATCTCCACGTGTTCTGGCTTCTCCCTTGCTTCCTTATTCCCCTAATTACATCAGTAATTCTCTGCTGGGAGAAGACCACATTTCTCTAAAACCAACCTAATAGATCACCAGCTGTTCAGAAGAACCAACAGGAGAGCGGGTTTTTGGACAGGCAGGACCAGACTTCTCCCAAGCAACGGGCTCTGAATGATGCGGAGACACCTTAGTGCCATGGCAGTGATGGCCTCAGAGGTGTCACCCGGGAACTGCCTTTGGTCAGAAGAGCCACTGGGGTCCTGGGAGAGGATGGGGGCAGGGACAGAGGCTCATGCTCCTCCCGCAGCAAGGGGAACTGAGTGCCCCCACCTCAAGAGTTGATTTCTATGGTCTTATATTTAGTGCGGTTCACCCGTGGCGAAAAGCACCCCGACGAAAGGCAAAGCAACACAGGTGAGTCAGGAATTGCCACTCGCTCCTTTGAATTCAGATTTCAAACAAGGAAGAAATTTTTCTCTCAGTGCTCTCCACACTCCCTATACAGAATTTAATAAAATCTGAGGGGAGGTTTTGTGCTTTGACAGACAGTGTTTGGCTCCGAAATGCAAAGCACCACCACGTGCCCACCCCCCAGCAGGAGCAGTGTCCCAGCAGCCCCCACGCACCCCTGGGCTCGCAGGGAGAGCTCAGCGCCAGTGCAGGAGCCGCTGATCTGGCGAGGACTGGTGCAGGATGTGGCCCCACAGCGCTCACAGCCCGGCTGCATCCCCCCGGGTTTACTCACTGATCTCCAGCTGCCTCTGGATCCTGCCCTTGCAGCGCTCCCGGTAGTCGGTCTGCGTGGCGTTGTACTCGGACATCACCTCCACGAACTTGCGGGACAGCGTTGAGTGCTGCGGAGGGATGGGGAAGAGAGAGCCAGAGTAAGGGTCCTGCAGGAGGGAGAGACCTGCTGCCCTGAGCTGGAGGAGGGCTCAGCCCCGAGCACCCCGACACCTCTGTGTGCTGGGTCTGAGAGTGGTGGGGTTTGGTAGTGGGGGAGAGGGCTATGGTGGTGGCCCCTGTGAGAAGCCTCTTGAAGCTCCCCCAGCTCCAAGTCAGACCCGCCTCTGGCCAAGGCCGAGACAACCAGCAACAGTGGCTGTGCCTCTGTGAGAACGTAGTTAAGAAGGGGAAGCTGAGAGGGAGTTGGGACTGGTGAGGAGGAGTTACACAAAGGGCACCTCTGTGAGCAGCGAGGTCGGTGGAAGGAAGGGGGAGAGGTGCCGGTGCAAAGCCCCCCCTGCCACCCATGGGGGTCACCAGAGGAGCAGAAATCCACTTGCAGCCTGGGGAGGACCCCCGGGTCTCTCTGGGAAGGAGAAGCCCCCACTGTTGTGGTTTGGCCCTGGGAGGACTGCAACACGCAGGGATGACCCACGCTGGAGCACCTCAGGAAGAATGTATCCCGTGGGGAGGAGTCACGGTGAGAGAGTTCACAGAGGACTGTCTCCAGTGAGAGGGATGCCAGGAGCACGGGAAGAGTGCAGCAGAGTGCTCCCCCCTCTGCAGGAGAAGATGCAAACTGACTGCACCCCCATCCCCTGCCCCAGTGGGAGAGGAGGTGGAGATATGGGAACAAAGCTGGGCCCCGGGAAGAAGGGAGGGGTAAGGGGAAGGTGTTTTTAAAATATGGTAACGCTTCTCACTGCCCCACCCTGTCTATTAAGTGCTGTTATTGTTACTGTTTTGACGTAAAGTGCTGTCCTTTTTCTTCCCCTAAGGAGCCCATGACCATAACGGGTGAGTCATCCCTCCCTGCCCTTATCCCAATATCTGAGCCTTTTTATTCATTTTCTCCCTCCCAGACCTGGGGGGATGAGTGAACAGCTGCGTGGAGCTCAAACCACAACACTCTAGCAGCCCAAAAAATAATTTCTAGCCCAAAAGCTGCTCCGAGGAGTGAGATGGAGCACAAGAGGTTGCAGGTGGCAGCAACCAGGTGGACCAGACACACCTCTCACTCAAGCCCAACGCAAGCACAGCCTTCAGCCCCAGAGATGGTGGTAGACCCCCTCATCATGGCTAGCAGAACCCTCCTTGCACCACACCACAGCTTGTGCCCAAGCAGCCCAGAGCTGAGGCCAAAACGGTGCCCCGGGTCGAGCCCTCCCTGCCTCCTTAACACTGCTGGGATGTGCCAGACCCAGCACGGGCACAGGATGGACCCACAGCAGGGCAGGGGGACCCCGGGGGCTGGGGCACGCAGGCTGGGCCAGGGGGACAGGGCACATACAGGGGAATTGTCCTCACTCTAGAAGCATGGTCCCACTTTTCCTGCCCATGGTGGAGGGCTCCCCAGAGCACCAGCCCCACAGGGATGTGGGGGACAACTGCCTGCCCCAAACTGAGCGGCTGCCTGCAGAGCTGCCAGCCCAGGGCCGTGGTGCGGTAGGGCTGTCAGTCTCCGCATGCAGAGCACGCTCACCTCACCAGGCTGCTTTCCATCCTCCAGGAAATGAGCCAGAAAAACTTTTCCACCTGACCAGGGTCTTGCTGAACACGCTGACCCTCACAGTGCTGGCTCTGCCCTGCCCCTGGGGCAGAAGCCCACGCCTGCATGAGCACCCACCCTGGGCCCTGACTTGCTGCCTGACCCAGCTGCCAGGTTGAGCACAGCAAACAGCCCTGATGTTCAGGAAGGTCAGGACAGAGCATCATGTGTATCCTTCATCCAAACACTTATCTCTCTCCAATGAGCGCTTTCCCCAGCAGGCCAGAAACTGAGTTTCACAGAATCATGGACTCACAGAGCAGTTTAGGTTAGAAGGGGCCTTCAAAGATGATCCATTCCCACCCCGCTGCCCCGGGCAGGGCCACCTTCCACTAGCCCAGGTTGCCCAAAGCCCCGTCCAACCTGGCCTTGACCCCTTCCAGGGAGGGGGCAGCCACAGCTTCTCTGGGCAGCCTGTGCCAGGGCCTCCCCACCCTCAGGGTACAACATTTCTTCCCTATGTCCAGCCTAACCCCACCCTAGGTCAGTTTAGAACCGTTGCCCTGTGCTGGGGACCCCAAGCTAGCCACAGTGCTCCAGGGGTCTGAGGAGAGCGGGGCAGAGGTGGAGCATCCCCTCCCTCGGCCTGCTGGCCACGCTGCTGGGGACGCAGCCCTGGAGACACTTGGCTTTCTGGGCTGTGAGCGCACGTTGCCGGCTCATGTCCCATTTGTCACCCACCAGCATCCCCCAGTCCTTCTCCACAGGGCTGAAGGCCTCCCTTTCCAGAGAAGAAATATCTAGTGCACAAGTCTCAAGCAAAACCAAATCCAATACCGTGTCAAGCAAGAAACACTTGCAGACTTCTTCCCAAACCAACAGCACATGACTGATGGGACCAGCCACTTCTCACACACCCTGGCGGGGCACCCAGCATCACTCTTCCACGCACCATGCACCCACCCACAAGCTGGGCCCAGCTGATGGTACTGCTGCGGGGGGAAGAAGGTTGTATCACCCCAACCTCAGCCCATGGACTGCTCTGACAGCCCAATCCAGGGATAAGGGAGAGATGGAGAAATGGTGAAAGGTGAAAGTAGAAGAGGTGATGGAAAAGGGATAGGAAAAGGTACACTTGAGCGTGGCCAGAGAAGGGCAACGGAGCTGGGGCAGGGTCTGGAGCACAGGTCTGCTGGGGAGCAGCTGAGAGAACTGGGGGCTTTAGTCTGGAGAAGAGGAGGCTGAGGGGAGACCTCCTGGCCCTCTGCAACTCCCTGACAGGAGGGGGCAGAGAGGGGGGATGAGTCTCTGGAGCCAAGGCCCCAGCGCCAGGCCCCGAGGGAATGGCCTCAAGCTGCCCAGGGCAGGGTCAGGCTGGCTCTGAGGAAGGATTTCTGTGCAGAAGGAGCTGTTGGGCGTTGGAATGGGCTGCCCAGGGCAGGGGGGGAGTCCCCATCCCTGGAGGGGTTGACCCAGCGCTGAGGGATCTGGTGGAGTTGGGAACGGTCAGGGTGAGGGTCATGGTTGGACTGGAGGAGCTACAAGGTGTTTTCCAACCAAGATGATTCTGTGATTCTGTAAAAGAGAATACTCAGAACAAACCGAAAAGAAGATACTGAGAGATTGACACAATGAAGAAACTCCCAATGAGTGTTCCCTCTGGGACTTTGAGGGCTACCAGCAGGGCATGAGCTCACCCTCAAGAGAGTTATGGCTCACAAGGAGCTGTACCCAGCTCTCAACGCCTCTACACAGGGGGGACTGGTGCAACACACCATCTCCGCAGGTGCACACTGGTGCTCAGAGAGTCCTACGGGGTGTTGGTACAGCCAGAGCAGCCCCAGCCAACATACCCCCACCTCCAGGAGATGGCACTGAAGACATCTTGAAGATACACTTGTGTTTCCTATGCAGCTATTCTCAGCAAGCAGCAGCTCAGTATTTATGGCAGAGCCTCAAACTCTGCTCATCTCGTTCCACCTCTGCTGGCAAACCTCACATGAAAACCCACCAGCAGCTTCACCTGCCACAGGGGCAGCCACTGCTCAAGAGGTGCCTGGCCCAGAGCAAGGGCAAAGCAGCTCCTGAGCATCAAGGCTTGAAACCTGGCAAAGACATAATGTGCCATCCAAGCAACTCTTCTCCTGCCTCTTCAAAATTGTTTTCCTAAAATCCAGTTCATTCTCATTCAGCTGAAAAGTATCAACATATGTTGGTCTGCAGCCAAATATAGCCCGGGTGTCGAACGACACCCCTTTCTGATAATCAGTATACCACTCCATACCTCTTTTACTTAAGAAGTTACTTAACTTAGTGTTTATTTTGTCAGGTTGTTATTTTATGTTCCCACAGGCATCCCACATGTCTACAAAATGCATTTGATTTTTGAAGGAACACAGAGTTTCATGCAAAATGATCTGGAAAAAGCATTTTTAATGGCTTTCAATCATTAAATAAAACTACCTGAATATCCAGAGTAAATAAAAAGCGTATCAAAATGTACTTTGCATTTGAAATAAAATTATTAAACAGAAAGTATAAACTAAAGTCAGGAAATGGGGTTGCTTAACCTGGGGCCAGCAACTCTTCTCCCCAGATGTGGGGAAAGCAGCCCCGTTTGTTGAACACCAAGCTGGATTTCCAAGGAGCTGATACCCCTCTGGGTGTGCACAGGGAACTCTGAAACCCCAGGAAGCACACACTGAAACCTGGGACCTTGGCCTGCAGCATTTCCAATGAAGGGAAAGACACTTCTGAAGTGCTCATCCCATGGGGGAGCCCGGGGGGTGCCAGCCTTCCTCTTGAGCCCATCTGGGTTGCAGGGGGTGGAGCTGAGATCCCACCCCTGAGCTCCCACTGCTAGGTTTGTTTCAGAAGGGTTTGGACCAGTCCAAGTGAGGTGAACATTTCCATTGCACTGGCAGAGGAATCAAGCCCAAAGGCAACCAGAGCAAAAGCTGTTCTGAGTAACAGGACAGAAAGTACTGACATTTGAAAGAATGTAAATAGCAGCTTTTGCTCTATTATGAACTCTAAATGTGATACTTAAAGAAACATAGAAAATACTGCTGAGACATCTGGGAACCTGAATCACTGGTAATGATTTTGGGCTGGGGATGCCCTTGAGAGATTCGACTCCAGAGCCCCTGTACCCTTCTGCTGCTGGTGAGCTGGCTGAGGCAGAGTGATTTATTCTATCTGCTGCTGGGAAACGGGAACAGAGTGGTTTTAATGTAATGGATTCAGGACATGAAAACAGCTTTTCCTCAGTGCATAAGCAGACGAAGAGCGAGGCTGCCCCTGGGACCAGTTTGCCATGGGCTCATGGAGCTTGGGACAGGCATGGAGGGACAGACTCGTGCTCCTGTGGAAGAGGCCAGCGCCATCAGCAGCCCCAGGACCGCGGCTGGAGGAGCAGCC